TAATGGGCCCATGCCAGGGACCCTGAGCCCTAGAGAGGGTCAGGGGATGCTCAAGGTCCCTCCAGAGCTGGACAGCAGCGGGTCTGGATGTGGGCAGGGGCAGGTGGTGGCCCCGTGGAGGCCGGGCTGGGGTGGGACCCAGCTTTGACATGAAGGTGGACTTTGAAGGCAGAGTAGTGCACTTTGAGTCGCAGCGTGAGCAGCCGCAAGCTGGCAGGGCTGCGGGGGGCTCTGGCTCTGTTTTCCAAAAACACAGATGGGCCGGGAAGGGGGTCAGAGAGAGGCCTGGGCGGACTGTGGGCCGAAGAGCCCCGGAGGGTCTGATGACTCAGCAGCCTGCCCCGCACAGAGCCTGGGGGCGGGGGGGGGGTCCTCCCCAAAGCCCACAGGTCTGCGGACCCCCAGGGCTGGGTGGCCTCCAGGCTGGTTCCGTCCCTGGCAAGTGGAGGGCCGGTCTGGCTCTGCCCCCAGCAGCCCTGCGACACTGTCCAGGGGTCACAGCCACCTGGGTCTAGACATTCTCAGCCTCCCTGAGTGAGGAGAGCCTGGCAGGCCCCACGACCTTAACGTCGGCCTGAGGGACCCCGACTCTGATTCGTCCTCAGCCCATGGGCACCCTGAGATCCCTGTCACCCTGTCTTAGAGTGTGGGGACTGTGGGTTGGCCTTTGGCTACGGCCCCACGCCATATTCTAGGGGCAGCCTCAGGAATGCCGGGAGGCTTGGAGGCTGCCTCAGCGGTCCCTGGGGTCAGGGACAGGGTCTCCCACCAGCAGCAGATGGGCAGAAAGTGGGGAGTCCGAGCGAGGTGGGGCGGGGCCTGGGGCCACCTGGGTGCAAGGGAGTGAGCTGAGGACGCAGAGGAGCGGGCGGGAGGCCGGCGGGGAGCCTGGCGCCAGCGCAGCCGTGAGACGGACGGTGGGGAGGCCACCTCCAGCCGGCCCCACTTTCGAAGGAATCTGCCTTGCTGTTCCTGAGGCCGGGGCCAGAAACAACAGTGGGAGGAAGGGCGCAGGGTGCGGGGGCGGCACCCAGCGTGTCATCTCCGCGTTCCCAGCCCCGGTCTACCGTCTACCCCTGCCCCCAAACATTCTTTCCAGAGTGGACCTCCCTCTCCTCGACGCGCTGGCGGAGGGGGCCGTGGGAACGCGCTGACCCCGGGCCGCCCGGACCCCAGCTCCAGGCCGACTTCAGCCCCGGGTCCCAGCCCCTGAAGCCCCCTCCTCACATGGGAACCAGGACTTGACCTTCCTTCGGGCTTGAGTGGCTGAGGGACAGATCCCCCTTCCCCCCCACCTCTGGCCTCCAGCCTCAGTAGCCCCCAGGGGCCCTGGGGACCCTCAGCAAAGGCCACGGCCAGGTCCACTTCGAGCCACGGCTGGCTGAGCCGTGACTAGGATGGGACAGGCTCCCTGGAGTCTTCTCACCCTGGCGCTCTGTGACTCTAGGGGCCTGCAGGTGGGGCTCAGAGTCTAGCCAGCGGCTTTCTCGGAATATTAGCGACTCAGGACATGTGTCCGGGCCTCGGAGAAACCCAGGTCAGTGAGAGGCTGGCCTGCGCTTGACTTGGGGGCCCAGACTGGACCTGAGCAGGCCAGGGGTCTCCGCGGACACCCCTCAGCATCGTCAGACGCCTCCTCTCATTCCTAAGCCCCACGCTCTTCAGAGTCCTGGTTGGCCAGCCAGGCAGGGCCCCCCACAGCCCCCACAGCCCCCGGGAGTGCCCAGCAGGGGCAGGGTGCAGCTACTCACACCCTGGGCAGCACCGGAGCCTGGAGCCGCAGCCCGGGGGCATCAACAGTGAGGCTCTGGTGCCATCTGCTGGTCACACCTGTGAATGGCGGCTCCTGGCCACATTGCTGGGTGTGAACAAACGTGCCCGCGCTGGCCAGGCCCTGGAGCAGGCCCCGCACGTCCCCGCCCCTCACACTCGGCCCACGTGCTGCGCAGGGCTAGCTTTCCCAGAAACTCAGGCTTAAGAACCACCTGCCCTGGCCTCGCTTTCTTCCCCGGGGGCCAGATCCCCACTGGGCACCAGGCCCTGGAGGGCTGGGGGTTACCCTCAGCATCCCTTCGTCCACTCTCATCACCCCAGGGTCTGCTCAGGCCTGGAGACAGGGAAGACAGTAAATATTTGCTGCCGATAGGCAGGAGAAGGCAAACACTGTCCCAACACCAGGCGAAGGTGCCAATTATCCATGCCAGGGGCAGACGCAATCCAGGAAGCCAGCCTGGAGGCAGCCACACCTCCGTGGGGCCTGGGTGGGTGGGGAAAGGTGTCACGTGCCTAGCTCCGGGGTATAAGAGCTTCCTCCCTGCACAGCACGTGTGAACACAGGACGCTCAGACAGAAGGCTGCATGCAGGCTGCTCTCGCTCCTCCAGGCATGGGCAGAGGTTTCAAGGGGGTCCGGCAGGTTTGGGGGGCCTTGGGGGGAAGCTGCCTTGTGACTGGGCAGCAGTTAGATGGACCCAACGCCAGGGAGAGGGGTGGGGCTGGAGGCAGCTGAGTGCCCCTGCCAGCCCCGTGCACATATGGAGCCCAGGTTCCAAGGCCAGGCGGATCTCTGGACACTGGAGGTGTCTGTCCTGCAGCTTCCCAGAAGGGGCGGAGCACAGGCAGCCGCCAAGCTTCATGGGCCTGGCTCACATGGGGTGACCTGGGAGCTCTGGAGCATCCAAACTCCCCGGCCAGGGCGTCTGGGGGCCAGTGCCCAAGGTGGTGCCCGACAGGAGACTGGGTCTCATGCTGCCCTTGCACCCGGGTCACCTTGACAGCACTTCTCACTGGGGCTGGGGAGATAGAGGGACTGTCCCTTGTCCTGGCTCTGGCCTCCTGTGTACATCTTTTCCAGGATGCAGTGGTGGGGGGTCAAGGGGCTGAGAAGCCAGGCCTGGGGGCCAGAGTCCCGGATCTCAGCAAGGTGAGAGGTGGCCCCAGCTCTGGCCCAGGGCAGCTGAGGGCACCACAAGCCATGGCTGAGTCTTTTGGGTGGCAGCCTTGCCGTCCCCGAGGCCTCGGGCCAGCGGTCCCCCAAGACAGAGTCACAGAAGATTTGGCCCTCAGAGGACACTCCACGGCCCTCAGCACCAGCCAGCACCAGCTGCCCTGTAAGTCTTGGAAGTCTGGGACAGCCCCAGGGGTCCCTGGACACCACTCTCCACAGCTCCCCACAGAGTGCTGACTCCCCCAGCCAGGCCTAAGAAGCACCTGTCCTGGCCTCACTCTGCCCATCACTCCCCACGGCCTCGCTGCCCATCAGGGCGGCCAGGGCAGCAGCTTGTCCAATGGCCATCTGGAGAGCAGCCTCCCAGCGGGCCCACCGCAGCCCCTCGAGAGTCACATACCTCGGCTCCAGCAGGGCGCCCCTGCCTCTACCCGTGCGAGTGGGGCCGGCCGGGTGTTCCCACGGATGACTGCTGCTGATCCCAGCCACCGCCTCCCTCCTCTTCCGGGGCCAGTGTCCGGCCGGCCACCCGCCTGCCCAGTCTTGACCCCCACTCTGGGGGCGGGGCTAGATGGAGGCTGTGACAGCCCTGGGCAGAAGGGAGCTGATATGGTCCTGGGGAAGGGGCGAGCTCGGAGCTTCAGGGACAGGGCTGCCCCGGTGGCCAGGCCCCCAGCTGGAGGTGAGCGCCCGGCCTCAAGCCCAAGTTGGCAGCGGTCCGCAGCCACAGGCCATATCAGCCCCAGGCCCAGCCATCCCCAGCCCAGCCCTGGGTGGAGCTCTCAGGAAAGGTCCAGATTGGTTTGGCCTGGGTGGCAGGCCGGCTGGCCCGGCCACAGGGTGTTTTGGGTCACCTGCTGACCTCCCAGGCCGCAGTAGGCCCAGGCCGCCCCTAGGCTTTCATCTGGCCACTAGGCTGGGTGCCCAGTGGAGCCGCCCTGTGCCCAGAGGTGCTGAAGAAGAGGATTCGTGTCAGGACCCCCACAGACCTGCAGCCCAGCGTGACGTCATCACCAGGGCTCGTGCGTGCTTCCAGATGAGTGGAGGTCTGTAGATAGGAAGCCGGCCATGTGGCCCTGCTTATGGGGAGGGGGAGGGCAAAGGGGCCGCAGGGGGACCCTGGCCCTGGTCTCTGCCCTGGTGGCCTTGGCGGTTTCCTGTCCTCCTGGGCTGCCGTCCTCTGGGGCTTCCAGCCAGGGTGCACAAGGTGTGGGTTCAAAGGCCCTGCCCACTGCTGCCACTGTCCTCAACACCCGCCCCGGTTCACGCTCCCATCTGCCCTCCCCTGCTCCCTCCAAGGCACCAGTGGGGCCCCAGGTGTCCAGCTGGGCCTGGCTGGTATGGGCTGTGGCTGCAGGCCGCTGCCAGCTTGGGCCTCAAGGCCAGGGTGTGTGAGTGTCCCGGGACTGCCTGGAGCTGGGAATCGCAGGTGCCACTCGGCAGCCTCTCCCCACTTCCCAGCCCCCGCCTGCAGGACCCCCTCCCGCAGTCCAGCCTCCTCCTTCCACAGGGACTCCATCAGAAATATCTCTAAAAATAGAAGCTGGGAGGGCTAGGTGGGGGAAATTGCTGGAATGTTCTCGTTCCCTTTCCTCAACAAAGTCTCTGGGGACTCCAAGAGCCTAGAGCTACTGAGCAAGAAGTCATTTCCCAGTGGCCCCACCACCCTGGCCTCTCAGAGACCCTCGAAACTCCGAAACTGGACCCCGAGTCCCAGGGTGGGAGTAGCAAAGAGGCAGCCAACAGGCATCGCCACTTTGGTGAGAACCACTGTGGGCCGGCCTGGCCAGTGAGGGCACCTGCGGGTGTCTAGAGAGCACGGAGAGAGCTGGGAGGGGCTCATCACAGTGCCGGGAAGCAGGGCCTGGCCCAGGGCCCCCGAAACACACAGACAGCACAGCAGAGCTGGTTCAAGGCTTTATTCCATCACTCGTGGTGTAGGTGCGGAGGGCGCAGGGCTGCCTGTGGGCCGCGGCTAGTTGTGGTTCTCCAGCTGGTAGAGGGAGCAGGTGCCGGTGCAGGTGGCAGTGGGCACGGGGTGGCCTGTGGGCCCAGTCTAGTTGCAGTAGTTCTGCAGCTGGTAGAGGGAGCAGATGCTGGTGCAGCACTGATCCACGACGCCACGCTTCTGCAGGAGACCCTCCAAGGACGACAGGCTGCCCGTGATAGAGCCCCCGCCCAGCTCTGCCTGCCCCACTGCCAGGGCGAGCCACACAGAGCAGGTCCAGAACAGCGGCGAGGAAGAGGACACAGGATGGCACAGTCAGGGAGAGACAGTGCCCGCCTGCCCACCAGCCGCAGGTCATGCTCCCACCCCTCTCCAGCCGAGCTGGGCCCAGGTTGAGGAAGGGTGGCCCGCACTGGGTGTGGACATACAGGGCTTCAATGCCCTGGGCGGTGCCATGGTGGGAGCCTGAACAGGTACCCCTGGTACGTCTTCCCAAGGCCTGTCCCCAGCGCCTGCCCTATTTCCTGACTATGGATCTGTCGTGAAGCCCACGGACAGGGGTCTGGCCCACTGTGGCCAGCAGCCATGCCCTCCTCAAGGTGCCATGGGGCATTTGCCCACAGGCAGGCAGCGTGGGGCACCCTGTGACCCCAGGTCACCCAGGACTTGATGTACTCAACAAAACACTGGAAGCTGCTGTCCTCAGGTGAGGGTGGAGAAGTGGGCTGCGGGGCATTTGCTTGAGGGGCACGTGGAGGGAGCAATCTGCCCTGCCGGCCCTCCGAGGTATCTCGGAGCTCAGCTGCCAAAGCCAATACAATCCTCAGGCTGAGACTCTGCCGGGGCCACAGGAAGCTGGTCACTTTTAGGATGTGACCAAGAGAGCTTCATCTCTTTTTAAAAAGTCCACCTGTCTCCCTACTGGTAGCAGCCTCCTGCCCCTTCTGCCCAGGCTGGGTGGGAGCAGCAGGAGCAGGGGTGGCTGGGGGCGGCGGGGCGAGTGAGGGGCGGCGGGGCTCACCCTGCGGGTCCTCCGCCTCCCGGCGGGTCTTGGGTGCGTAGAAGAAACCTCGCTCCCCGCATACTAGGTAGAGGGCTTCCACCAGGTGGGGGCCGCACAGGTGCTGGTTCACAAAGGCCGGGGCCGGCTCGGGTCCCCAGAGGGCAAGCAGCGCCAGCAGGGGCAGGAGGTGCATCCACAGGGCCATGGTGGAAGGACAGTGACCTGGGAGACAGGCAGGGCTGAGGCCGGCTGAAGGCCAGATGCCCTGCCCTGGGGCCCCTGGGCTCACCCAAATGCTTCAGAGCCCAGCCACGCCCTCCCACTGCAGAGCTGGGGTCCGGGGTCCAACTGCTCTGGAGGCCCCAAGTGGGGCAGCCCTGGGCCCAGGCTGGCTCGAAGGCCCTTGGAACAGACCTGCTCGCTGGCCTCCTGTGATGCAGCTGGTCCCGGAGGGCTGAGGGCTGCTGGGTCCGGGCCGGCTTTATAGGCCCAGAGCCCATCTCCCCTTACCTGCCAACCCTGCCGCCTGGCCCATTAGGGCCTGGGGTTCAGGGGCTGGCAGATGGCTGGGGGCTGAGGCTGCACTTTCCAGATCATTTCCTGGCTGCTGGCTCTGCGGGAATATCTCCTTGGTCGTCAGCATCTCTTCCTCAGGGCCAGGGAGGGGTCATTAGAGCCTTAAGCAGGAGCCTGGTGGCCAGACCTGTCCCTGTTCGCAGCTGGGGGTAAATGTCTCCGGGAGAGCAAAGCCCTCGTCTGGGCCACTTTCCACATTAGACCAAGACAGCAGGAGGCTGCAGGGCGGGGTTCTTCACGTGGCTGTGCCCAGACTCCTGCTCTTCGTCTCTGGTTGCCTGAGATACCCCCATGGGTGGGCCGAGGTTGTGGGGTGGGAGAGTGAGGGGGCCCCGTCCCTGCTGGCTGCCCGGTTCCCACCGCACCCCAGGATAGCAGCCCCAGCTGAGACCCTCAGTTCCCCCTGGGCGGCAGGAGGGCAGGACCCGGGGACCCAGAGACAAGCAGCGGGTCCCCAGCAGGCCGCCTGGACCTCATCTTCCCTGCGATCTGCGGTGGCTGCAGGGCTCCATGGGCGGGTGTGGGAAGCTCCATCCCAGCCCCATAGGCACCCTCCTGGCCCCCACTCCTCTTCCGGGAGCCCCTGTCCATCGCTCCTCTCCTGGCCAGGCCCCATGATCCCATCACCCCCACAGTGTCATCTGGGCTGAGCCCTAGGCAGGCACCTGGAGGCCCAGCCGGACCCATTGGGAGTACATGGGCTTCGCCGCAGCCCCTAACCATCTGTGAGCTCCAGGGCCAGGATCGGGAGGTCCCAGCAGCAGGAGGGCGAGATTATGGGGCAGGCAGGTTGGGGCATTGTGTGCCCCGAACCCTCTCATCCCTGTGCCCCAGCCTGGCCTCAGCCTCAGAGCCCCTGGGGGCCGCCCGAACTCTCCAGCCTTAGCATCTCCTGCCTAGCCAGTTTGGTAATGGGCAGCTGACTATGGGGCCCCTCCCTTCTGCCCCTCCCACCCCAAGCCATGCTGCAGCAGGACCTGTGGTGACTGCCCCAGGATGGCACCATGCTCTGAGGCCCTGCAGTGGGAGAAGACATAGGCGCCTCCTTAAAACGAGTGTGTAGGGAGGGATCCTGGATGAGGGTACCTAGGGGGGAGGGCAGAGCCAGGGGCTGGCTGGGTCAGGGGCAGCGAGGTAGGCACAAGCTCTTCCCCAGGGCTTCCTTGGGGCTCACAGCCCTTCAGAGACACTCCCAGTTGCAGCCTCTAGTGCCTGCAGGGGCTGGGTACCGACAAGGTGTGTGAGGAACAGCCTGCCAGGCTGGGAAGGACTGTTGTGCCCGGGAGAGCCTTGACGGATGACTAGGAGTTTGCCACGGTTGTCAACCTGGGAGCTAAGAGCCAGGATCCCAGCAGAGTGTGGTGGGGCAGCTGGAGGGAGGGAGGGGCACTGAAGGCCCGCTGGTGTCCTGGCCCACCCTGCAGGATGCCCTGGGGTTGCTCTCTCCAAGATAGGAAGGGGCACCCGGCTGGCCAGGCCTGGAGGGTGCTGAGTGCTTTCTCTGGAGGGCATCTCCCATCTCACAGGAGACAGGCCCAGGGCATCTGCACAGCCACCAGCTCAACCGGACTTTCCCATCAGCACACGTTCTGGGGGCCACGCTGAGGCCCCCCTCAGATGCCAGGGCCTGCTCCGGGTGGGTGGGGCATCTCCCCGGTCCTCTCAAGGGCTGGGAGCCCCATCAGCAGGGGGTGCTAGGCCGGCAGGCCCCCCTCTGAGGCCACCCCCTGCCAGCACAGTTGCGACCCCTGCTCCCTGCCAGGCCTGGGAGAGACCCTCCCACTGTCACCTGGCTCCCTACCCCGGGAGGGCACCCATGGAGATGGGCGCCTGAGGGGCTCAGAGCTGGGCAGGGCCTCAGGGTGAGCGGGGAAACTGGCCCCAGAGGGGCCTGCAGCCTGGCCAGGGTGATCAGGCGTCTCCCAGAGGAGGAAGGAGACCAGCGCGAAACCTCTGAGAGGCTGGGGTGGGGGCGTTGGAGCCTGGGGCTCCCAGGGTCTGTCTCTGTGGCACAGACACAGGGCCAGGCAGGTGGAGGCACACTTTCTTTTATTGTGACGGTGGATGGGGCAGCAGATGGGATCAGGGCAGGGCGGAGGGCAGCGCAGCAGCCTCCAGGACCCTGGTAGCTGGACAGGACGTCACCACGGGCACACGCAGCTGTTTCGCTGAGAAGCGGGCATTGGGGCAGCAGAAGCCTGGCAGCGGGGAGGGCGTGGGGGGCAGTGGGGCGGGCAGTGGGACCCAGCTCCTCACCAGGGCCTGAATTCCGGCATGGTGCAGGAGCAGGGGAGGTTGGGAAGGGCCCGCAGTGACACCCTGAACCTAGCCAATGGCACTCAGCGCGTGGGCCAGGGTGTCCAGCTCGTCCTGGACGCCCTCCAGGGAGCGCCGCACGGCCTGGGGGCTGTCCAGCACATCGACGGCCATCGTGTACGGGTCAAACTTCACAGAGAAGGGGCGCTGGATGCGTGAGGCGTAGCTCCTGGGGAGGAGAGCGGCAGAGCCCTCAGTCAATCGGCGGGCAGAGTCTGCAGCCTCCAGGAGAGGGGGAGGCCGGGGCTGCATTTCCACCATCACAGTGGCTCCAAGCTCCAGGGGCTTTTCTGAGCCACCTGGTCACAGGCAGGACGCTGCGGCCTCTTCCAGGGCTGGGCGAGGGGTTCACGGGGAGACAGGCCAGGCTCCTTTTCTACCAGAGCCTCTGCCGGGCACCCCATCCCTGTCTGCACCTCCACCAGGCCTCATCCTCCAGGAAGCCTTCCTTGACCACATCCCTAAGCCTGCGAGTGGAATTCAGCACCCCAGTCCGACAGACACATAACTGTTGGCCTCAGTTTCCCCAGGGCATAAGGGTGGGGCTGGAGGGAAGATGATGAGCCCTTTTACTGAGGCGAATGGGCTGTGCTCCCCTCTCCTGACACCCTGGTCGCTGCACCCAAGGCCCCTAGCCCCAGGGACCCCACTCCCACCGCCCCCCACCCTGCCTCTCCCCATCCCAGGTTCCACAGGACCTCCTCATAAAGCTCAGCTCTGCCAACACCCCCAAGAGTGGCCTTGACCTGGCCTTGACCCGGCCACCCAGCACCCCCTGTCCTGAAGGTCTGCCCCTCCACAGACGCTGGGGTCCTGCTCACAGGCGGTGTCCCTGCCGTGAGGGGCTGCTGCAACCGGGGGTCCGTTTTCTCATCTGTGACCTGGCCTCACAGCCCAGCCCTGCTCAAGGCCTGAAGGAAGGCCTGGCTTGTCCAGTTTGGGGGCACAGCGGGGGTCTCGCCCCAGGAGCCAAGCCCACCTGAGCTTGTCCTTGGCGTCGCTGAAGCTCTCTGACACGAAGTACACGGACTGGTACGTCTGGTCTTGGTAGGGCTGCACGGCCGCAGCTTCGGGGTCGAAGGCCCGGATCTCCGGCTCCTCAGACAGGGAGTGCTGGCGGGAGGGCGGCGTCACCGACCCCAGTGCACCCAGGCCCCTGGGGGAGCTGGGCACCATGGCCTGACGCTGGGTGGCTTCCTCTGGCAGAGTCGCCCTCACCTCCCCCGCCGGGCCTCCGAAGGCCTGGGATAGTGTGGGCTGGGGACTGGGCAGAGACACTTTCTCCAAAGACAGCCTGAGCCCTGGAGGCCCAGGCTGCAGCTTCCTCCCCTGGGAGTCTGTCCCCTCCCTGCACTGTCCCCCGTGCATGCCCCGCCCCTCCGCTGGGGGCTGCGCAGGTGGAGGGTCTCACCAAGAGCTCCCCGTAGGAGGACAGCAGCCCGGCACCGTAGGCCTTCACCTCCCCGTTCTGCTTACACAGCCCAAACTCCACTGTGAACCAGTACAGCTGCGGGGAAGCCAGGCAGCCTCAGCCCCTGGTCACCTGTGGCCCGGACGCCACCCCAGGGAGGGCGGGCCAGGCTGCAGGCAGGCCAGGGTGAGGGTCGCGATTCATGGGTGGAAGCAAAGGCCTCAGCCTGGACAGCAGGCGGACGTGGCCCGGATTCAGACCCCGAAGCCCACACCCAGGCCCTGCGGGGAGAGGTCAACCCACCGTGGATAGCTTCTCAATTTCCTCATCCGAGGCCCCCAGGGACGCCAGGCCGATGTCCTGTGGAGCGGGCAGGAGGATGAAGGGTGGGGGGAGGCAGCCCTGGGTCAAGCTCGAGGTGGGGGCACTGTGGGTGTCAGCAGCCCCTCCAGTAGTCTCTGGGACACTGCCCAGGGGGCAGAGACCCACCCCGGCCACCCAGGATCCGAAACCTCCACCGGGCCTCCTCCTTCAGGCAGCCCTCCTTGACCATATCCCTAAGCCTGTGGGTGCCGTTCTCAGGCAGCCGGCAGATGGCAGCACAGCCCGTGGGAGGCTTCGCTCCAGCCCCGCCCTCTGCCCCTCGGGGCGCCGAGCCCCCCATGGCGGGACCCAGGGGCAGGCAGCACATTTCACCCAGCCACACATCAACCCCCGACCCGTCCTAGGCCCCAGGCCAGCCCCTGGGTGACCCCGGTTCCCTCCGAGGCCACAGAGCACCTGGGAGAACTGTGCGAAGGTGCGGTCAGCCAGCATGGGCACGTGCCCCAGCAGCTCATGGCAGCAGTCCCTGCGCAAAGGAGGCGGGCTGAGGGGCCACCCACCGCACCCCCAGCCCTCGGGTCTGCCTGCTCTAGG